AGAACCTTTCATGATGGTGACATCCGCTTCTGCTCCTCCTGAGACCGCAGTGGCATTCATCCCCAAGCTCTTGGTGTTCCCTGGCGCCTCCATTCCAACCTCATACAATATTTCTGAACTCTCTGTGTTTAATGAAGCTCCTGTTGCTATTGTTTCAGAACCTCCAGAGGTGGCGGCATTCGCTGCAGAACCTCCAGAGGTGGTGGCGTTTGCTGCAGATCCTCCAGTGGTGGTGTCGTCCACTTCCGTGCCTCTTAAGATGGGGGTGTCCACTTATGAACGCTTTGTCAGTCCTGACGAGGTCATGGTGACCATCAGTGAATCCCCTGTCATACCAGTCCCGGCCAAAAAGGCCATTCCTGAACTCTCTGTTTGCACTGTCCCAGCCAAGGAGGCTTTTTCTGAACTTTCTGTTTGCACTGTCCCGGCCAAGGAGGCCTTTCCTGAAATCTCTGTTTGCACTGTCCCGGCCAAGGAGGCTTTTCCTGAACTCTTTGTTTGCCCTGTCCTGGCCAAGGATGCCTTTCCTGAACTCTCTGTTTGCACTGTCCCGGCCAAGGAAGCCGTTCTTGCGCTCTCTGTTTGCCCTGCCATGGCCAATAAGGCCGATCCCGAACTCCCTGACTGTCCTGTCACGATTAAGGAGACTGCCTATGAACTCTCTGCCTGTCCTGTCACAGCTGTGGAGGCCGTCTGTGGACCCTCAGTCTGTCCTGTTCCGACTAGGGTGGTTAATTCTGAACTCTGTGACTGTCCTGTCCAGGGAGGCCTTTCCTGAACTCTCTGTTTGCCCTGCTATGGCCAATAGGGCCGATCCCAAGCTCTCTAATTACCGACTGTCCTATCCTGGAAAAGAAGGCCAGTCACAAACTCTTTGTTTGCCCTGCAATGATCAGGGAAGTTGTTTCTGAACTCTCTGACTGTACAGCCATGGTCAAAAGAGCTGGCCCTAGACTCTCTGCTCGCCATGTTACGGCCAAAGATGCCATTTCTGAACTGTCTGCCAGTCCTGTTACGGCCGCTGAGGCCATTGTTAACCTCTCTGTGCTTTTTGTTCCAGTTCTGCCTGATCTGTCCGGCTCATCGGCTCCACCCTGGTGCTCTTCAACTCTGTCTGCTCTGCTCTGGTGGTCATCGGCTCTGCCTTGGCCCTCTGCTCTGCCGGCTCCACCCTGGCTCTCTGCTCTGC